TTTTCTTCCCTTTTTTAAATACTCATCGTGTCTTATGTGGAGGGTATCCAGTTTTTTTATACTTCTTTTACAAATTTTTGTTAAAAATAAAAATATCGAAAATTAATGCTACTTATTATTTTGTGCACACAAGCGTTTTGTTGCACATATTTGGCATTTCGTCAGAAGACTCTACCTTTCATTCTAATTACTTTCTTACATTGAGTTCTCATCGTGCATCTCTTATTTTCCCAATGCTTTCGATTTCCTAAGGCCTTAAGGAAAAAACATTCAAGTTGGTTCCTGAGCTTGCAGACTTGCCGTTCGACGCTGCTTTACCTTCTACCACAACTTTCACCGCTTTCACCGCCTTGGAAGCATCTGATGACATAGGTATCTCTAGTGAGTCGGAGAGTCCCTCTAACATGATCATGCAATTACGCAAAGCAGCTAATCACACCGCTCTCCTTTCCCGCCTGATCTACCCTGAGCCGCTATTGCGCGAGCTAGCACAGGTATTACACGCTGATGAAAGTCATGTAAAGGCGGACGTGAACTTGATTTTTGAAGATCTCTCCGTCATGACAGACCATCAGGTGCACACCACCTGTTCTCTCTATGAGGTAAGTGCTTATGGTTAGAACATTTTTCGTAATTTGTTTAGAAAAATAAAATAGATAAACGCCCTTGGCAAACTTTGTAAACGAAAATTATACCAAGTTGGTATAGTTTTCATTGTTTTTTTCAATATGTTGAAGCATAACTTCCAAATTATACAATTTTATTGAATAATGAATCCACTACTCTGTGATGCCTTTTGGGTTTCTTTGATCTTTGTGTTTACACAAATATAAGCTCTAATTTACTGCTACTGAGAATGCCAAAAGTGCTTCCAAAATCGGCACTTAAAGGTGCACAGCGGTTAGCCTGGATGGTGATTGAGTAAAGATAAATCCAACCTACAAAAGATTGTTTATAAAGTATTCCTACCACTACTAATATTACTAAGTGTTGATGCTTCTTGTTTTTAGTTATAAATCGTAATTCTGGTGAGGCGATTACTTCTGAAGTCGCCTTAATTTGGACTCGACATTGGATTAGAATCAATCACTCAGAAAGACGTTTTATACCCTGTTGACATTAAATTACCACTGCGACCACTGAATACTTTTCTATTCAATACGAATACGAATTTTTGTTATCCTTTTCTTTACATAAATTGTTGTCCGTCTGAAACTTATATAGACTGATTGTGCTTTGCAATAGTATAGCATAGATCTTGATTTTTAGGGGTCATATCTTCCTGATCTACTTCTTCAGACCCAAGAAGACTATATAATGCATACGTTCCAAAGGTCTCCATTTCGCTTCAATCTAGTTGCGAAAAAGAGATCAAACCAACATTATATTGTGCATACTTCATGAGAATATTTGCCTTGCTTAGCGTTACCCCCATTTTTGTGTCTAAATCAAGTTTATGCTATTGTTATATTATCAGGTCAATTGAGTCTGTCTTTTCGCATATTTTTCTTTTTTTGAAAAATCTCCGAATGCTCCCTTTCGAGATCACATACTACATAAAGTAGTCTATTCTATTTTAGACTGTATACAATTATAACATACAAATGGCAGCATGATCTTGATTCTGCCACAGTTCATTGTTTACTTTTTACAAGGTCTTCCTTAAATAGATACATATATGAGCACTTATATTTGCATACAACAAGATAGATTACTAAAGGTTGTTTGACCTTGTTTTCGCAACACGGTCATATTGGTAGGAAGACTTATTGGAACGCATGATTGTTTGACCTTGTTTTCGCAACATGGTCATATTGGTAGGAAGACTTATTGGAACGCACCTAGTCCGGGGGTTGTCTGCATGATCATTTCCAAAGTTGAACCGTGGACGTGGTACATTCCCAAACGTTTCGTCGGCATCGTCAGTGAGTACCGCCATTCTCAGCACCACACAATAACTCGTCAAAGAGACAAGTGAAGCCGATTCTTTGACCAGACTGGC